AGTACAGCGAAGACAAGTAGCTAAGTGAGCAGCTATCGCTCTCACTCACTTCCTCAAATACAAGCATTGCAGCTACGGTTGTTGCTGCTCATTAACCAGTTTCTCTGCCAAGCGAGGAAGCCCATTAACCCAGTTTTCTAACGGTCGGCGTAACACTATTTTCTCGCCTGAAATAATCAGGTAAAAGCTGGAATACTGATTCAAGGAAAATAATAAATTCAGATGATAATATAGGAATTGTGAATGTAAATATAAAAGATCTGAAGAGCACATGCGGAAGTCATCCCTGTGTGATCGATGCCCTCAGAACAGTAAAAACAGACCATCACATTTACCAGTGTCAAATAATGGAGCATTCTGGGGTTGATGAACTGCAGAAGTCGACGCTGCTGTGAACAGCTAGGACGTTGAGAAGAATACTGTAGCATCCAAACCATTGCTAGAGAGTTTGAGCTGGTTTTATTCGTATCATTTACGCTACATTGAGAGAGTGGGATCGAAATAAACTAACAAAAATAGGTAAAGAATGTAAATGATAATGTCCAAGACATCAGCATCCGTCAGACTTCGCTGTCCCTGTGACGAATTCGAAGCTATTCTAACAACAGCCCATAATCCAGCACTGAACAGAATTCATTAAAAGCTGAAATCCTCACATGTATTTGGAAACCGACTGCAATAACGAGAAAACGTGCCCATATCGTCTGTGGTATCCAAACGATCGTGAATAGAGAATAAAAGGAAAGGCGCAATGATCTTTCACTGGCGTTTATGCAAATGAAGAAATTTTTCAGAGGAAAATGGTAGTTAAACATATTAGTCGAAAGAAGTCGAGGGTAGCGAGGAAGTGAAAATGTCCTGGGACTATATTATTGGTAGAACTCGTTATATTGTTGAAATTGCTCTGGAATTAAACAGACATGAATTTTATATTTGTGATTAGCATCTCCCCAGATTAATTCTTAAATTTTCAGATTCGCCAAGTTACAGAAGAAACAGGAACAGACGGTGAATTTCCGTGAAAACCTACGTCAAGTAAAGACGGACAAATGGAACCTTGAACAGCTTAAAAAGGAGGGCAAGAAGGAGGTAAATAATACTGTAACACATACTCTGTCTTTGTTGACTACACGTTTAGGAAAAGAAGCCAGAATCTGAAGCTCCTCCCGCGGCAGCAACGCCTGCTGAAGAATAAGCGAAACCTTATCCCGACTGCGCAGTTAACTTATGCCTGTTGTGAGCATATATTTAAACTTTGTTATAATATTTTCAGATCTAACTGTATTTAATGGTGTGAATACCGTGCATTAGAGCAGTAAAAATGAATGATGCCGCTCAAACAGTTTTTGGCAATGCCGTGTGTTCGTTTCTGGCCTCTTCGTTGCGTCGCTTTCCGGAGCCGCTGACAGCTATAATGAACCTCGTTGATGACTTGCGCGAACTGACCTCTTCGGTCGTCCGTTTTTACCACTGTAGCTTGACCTTTACTTCAGTGAATTTCTTATGTGTAAACAGCTTTCAATAAACCGCTTAGTGTTGCCTAAGGCCTGGGAAAGAGTGAAACTTGTTTCGGCGACCATGTGCGTTGTAATATAAATATTTTTCATCTTCTACAACTTATGAGTTATTTAGGATCTTCCAGTAGCGTTATACTGATCTATCGAAAGAAAAATTCACATACTGCGGTGCAGTATCGACAAAGGCAATTCTTTTACCCAATGAAGTCTTAAAATAGTTGCGAGTAATAGTTTAAGATCTTAAAAGAAATTCAAATGGTACAATGCAATATGAGTGATACGATATTTAGGTGAACGATCGTCAGAGTCGCATAAGGACGGATGTCTAATTTCACTATATCTGAAAAAATTGTTAGTGTTGAAAGCTTCGTTGTATATGATGCAGCTAAAATACATAAATTGGCCAATATCTGGAAGAGCTGCCCTTTCTGTTCCACATGCCAGTACATAATACAAATCAAGCTTACTGTTACAGCAGCTGTTGATCATCTACTTTGCGGGGAACACATTATGCATTCCTTGTCGTTACAGAATTAGCAACTACTAAAACATGTGAAGATTGTCAAAAGTAACAAGAATGCCGCGCAGTTGTGGTTGAGGTTCATGCTTTAACAAAGTATGTACATCCTTGCAGTGTAGATAATAGAAAGAGATGAGTATTGAGTAACTCCTCAATAAGAATGAAGACATGTAATCGAAAGAAACAATGAAAATGTGCTAAAAATCTTTTCATCGATACCTATCGAAAGCAGTAGATAGTCAACACCAAGACTGTTGACCAGAATTCAATTGATGCATCATCAGATTGTTGAACTTTACGCATAAAAATGTAGGAATCGACGAGAAGAAAACTACCTGGCTGAAGTGAACCTGAAATCTCATTTCTCTCCATATAAGGGCGTTGTCGTACCTGCGCATATACTTCAAAGAATAACTCTTTTTTTATTATATCGCTGCCATTCAGTGGATGGGCTATGATGGTAATGTTCAATTTTGTTTGTAGTTTCATTCATGACTAGCCTTTATTTGTTTGTCTCCTCTCCGTTTACGGCTATAAGCATATTTTGAATTTTTTCCATGTTTTATTGATTTATGCTAGAAAAAGGGGTTTTATTACATCTTTTGTGCTAAACGCCTTCCAATTTCAATTTCTGAGCAAGTGGCGTCTATATGGCATTACGGCACTCACAGTGCAGCAGTTACAGATCTCGAATACTTTGTTTAGAACTTGAACTACCAACAGGCAGGCGTTACCTGAACACAATAAACACTTGGAAGTGGATTTTTAAAAAATGTAATTATAATCTGGCAATTAATTTCGCATTTGTAGGAGCAAATAAATTCAAACTCCATCAAAAAAGATTACGTTATATGGTTTGTAAACAAACCTGAGATTCTGCACAGACAGCAGCTTCCGGAAAGCTAGCGACCACTTAATGGACGAACTGACAAGATGGCGATGTGTG